TGTAATGTGCGAGTTTATATGAACCCTACCATACTGAAACGCGCGGCTGACACGCGGCCGCCGCGCTTTTCAGTGTGGCAGGATTCACATTATTATTAACTCGTACATTACAAAAATTCCCGCGCCCGGAACGCTTCCGCGGCCGCCGCTATGTGGCCAGAGCATTAGTCAACGAATCAAACTCAGAGTCAATGATTTGTACAGGTCCGGATTTATTTCCAATGCTTAGCAACCGCGAAAAACCTAAGAACTCGGCACCGAATAGGTATTATTGGTATAGGCATTTTTTTTTTAACTTATTGGAAGACCAACGGCTATCTTACAGAGTAAAAACTGAAATAATAATGGAGAGCCAAATATAGGTCCTCACATCCTCCGATAGACACAGATTAAGTTAATGAGCATTAAATTATAACTACATAACTTGTAACTTATTTTACAAATTACCTACTTGTCAAAAAATAAACTAATAGTAAGACGTATCACCGATGCAACACTAGTGTTGCATCCCCTAATTTGTCATCCTTAGAGGTGGAACATTTTCCTTAAGTTTTAATTGTAACATATGTGACGTACTCTCTTTCCAACAAAAAAAGAATCATCTAAATCGGTTTACAAATGCAAATGAGTTATCACGTAACATACAGTCGAATTGAGAACCTCCTCGTTTTTTGAAGTCGGTTAAAAAGGTCAATATCAACCTGCTTGGACAATACATTGAAGCTATTACTCGCACGCAAGATATATACATTCCGCCGAAAATTCGAAGAGGCCAGAGGTACGCACAAAAGTGAATTAAACATAATGAGACTTTGCAGGGGAAGAGAAATCTTGGACTAATAACTTGACAGGACAACTAATCTCCGTATAAACGTAACTGTGAAAAAGGTCACAATCCCGTCTTATACCTAAATATCGCTGATCGATACCCTGGAAGTAGTTTAGGTTATATATGTGACCGTAGATATCAAATAATTCCTCTATAATATTAAGTATGAGAAGTCAGTTTTCTTCCCTTTAATATTATTCAAGTATTAACCATGAAACTAAAACCAATAAAATTATTTTCTGATTAACAAATATGCGTGTCAATAGATGGCATTGTGTGTTACAAACTAATTTATAAATCACCGCTTGCTAGTATGTGTAGATGGCGCTAATCCTAAACAAAATAAAAGAACAGCCGGCAGTATCCATAAAATCTTTGAAATAAGTGCAATCTAGTTGATTTGTTTGTTATCACTAGAAATTAGAGTAGCTTTGATAAATTGGAGCTTGTCAATGTAAAACAAATTACTTACAAAAATAGCTATTTGGTACTCGTCGCGACATCTGGTGTACCAATGGGTACTAAATACCCGACTACGCTTTCTCGTATCGCGATGAGCAGTCCTCTTGAGTTATTATTGGTCCATGATATAGGTTTAATATACCCATTGAGTATATAACCAGAAATAGAAACGAAAAAAAGGCCGTCCATCCCTGGCAACTTATCAGGCAAATGGACAAAGTATATACAAATATACTTTTAAATATCAACTCTTGTTTGCAATGAAATCATAAATTAGAAAGCTGAAATAGTACAGCGCCATCAACTGACCTGTGTGTACGTCTCCGTATATTCCAAAAATATTCTGTATTTATTGTAATAAAGATAATATCTCTAACTATGGGGAGCTGTTCTATTCGGTGGTGTGGAAAAAACAGCAAAACATCTAATTACAAAACAAACGGAATCACGTTTCATCGGTAATAAAATATTAAATATGTAATTTCCACTTTTTCGTTCATTATAGCAAAGCTCAAGTTAAACTGGTCATATTGAAGTTTCGAATTCGGGCTAGCCAATCGGAGCGCAGTTGTCACCGTTATGATTTGGCAGAATAGTTTTCAAACAAATGAAATTACATTTCGTCTCTATTTCTGGTTATATACTCTATGAATATACCACTTAGCCGGATTGATTTTCATTACAATTTAAACAATAACCATTATGTTTGAACGTAACTATAATAATAATAATGTACCAAACAACCACGCCAATTACTCGGGCCTCAAACTGGAATTCCCGGTATCATGAATACCCGAGCCAGGAATTAACTGCGGAGTACTACTGAGAACACCCGAGACCGGAACAAATTTAGACCAGTTCGTTTTTCCAAATTGATTTTACCGGGAATCAAGGAACATGTCATAGTATGAAATTATGAGTAATTATGTAACGAATTCATTAAATTAGGAAAATACATTAAAAATAAAAATTCAAAACAATAATGAAACTATGTATAACAAGTTATGTTACAACAGCAGTCTAATAGTTAATTGTCGTAAGGGAAAATGTCTGTCACGACATTTCAAAATTCGATACACCAACAAAATTTATTACCTTTATTTTCCCTATAGTGATATAAAAGTGACTACTCGTCTACTTTCATGGTCCATATTCCCGATCCGTCTATTTCCTATTTCGTCTACTTTCCCGATCGGTCCATTTGTTCAAATGGTCCACCTAGTTTCACCAGTACCCTTATCATTAGATACTGGAACATATTACTTCTTGGCGGTAGAAATAGGTAAGGTGACAATACTTCCCTGGACGAGTTCTTTCACAAGGAGCTCTACTGCTACTAACTAATTTGACTATGTATAAAAAAATACTTTATTATTTTATTTTTTATATTGAATATCACGATTTTTTTACTACCATCATATTCATCTTTTTTTTTTTCAAAACACACCTCTAGTTCGATTATTTTTGATACAAATTTCGAATAAACAAAGAAAAATACCTTCGATCCGATTGGACTTGGAATCTACGTCAACGTTGCAACGGTAGCCACATTGAAGCTGAGTGTCTACTCCCAAAAGTAAAATCCGATACACGTAGCTGCGTATGTCCTTCACTTTAATAATTTCTTACTATGAAACGCGTTATGTGCCCGATTGTGGAACGATTGCGGAATGAAACACGTGATTTATATGAGTGTCCGACATCTGACGTTGATAAAGCTACTACGAAAAGCCATTTTGACAGGTTTTTGACACGTGTGTCGGACATCATAACCTCAACACGTCATAGGAAATATGAAGCAGCGATCATCGTTTTAGCTTCGTACCGGACCCGGAAGTAACGACGAGTCAAAGATCGTGATTTGACACAAGTAGTTGCGGATACTTTACTCCGAATGACAACTTCCGTGTCGTATTTTGACATTGTTTTCATCGTAGAACTGACATAAAACCAATAGATCGAGCGGTATCGTTTGTGTAAAAAAATCGTGAATACTGTTAGTTGTTGAGGAGCTCGGACAAAAAAATACGTGAAGATGAAGTAGAGAGACGACGTCAAAGGAATCGCAGTTTTTTGATATCGCTCACTGATGGCAAAGTTGTAAGAGAATTTTGTATAATCTTTTTGAGGATGTAACAGGCAGGGTGTTCAAATATTTTAGGTTTATTGACCCACCACCACCAAAAAAAGTTATTTCTCTAGTTATATTTTAGAGTCTGCATATGTGGTTTGTTTGTCAGATTGCACATTGTCAGTGTAGAAAACTAGCTTTTCTAGATTGTCTTGAGTCGGGGCGTTTGTGGTGCCGTCGTTGTTTCCGGTTTCCATAACACAAGTGCTTTAGTTACTTACTTTGGGATCAGAGCAACGTATGTGATGTTATTTAATATTTATAATAAAAACCACAAAAAGACAACAAATTATTGATAATCATCTGAGAAGCCATAAGTCGTCAAGAATGTACAGAATGATTCACGTAATCTATCTGTTTATTCAATTTGGTGATTCAATCAAATTCGTGTGAGAATATTTCGGAAGTGTTATGTACTAAAGTGCCTGTTATGTGAATCAATCAAAGTTTAATGGCGCATTGTTCGTGTCATACAACATAACATGTGATATAACAATGTTTAACATATTTTGCATGCTCCAGTTATATGTTATAGATTTCATGGGAACATATTTTTTTGTTTCAAATTTCAATGCGATTACACCACGTAATTAGTTTATTATTTCTGCTTATTAACCGACTTCGAAAAAGGAGGACGTTTTGAGTTTGACTGTATTTTTTTGTACGTTTTTTAAACCGATTGCGTTGTACTTGATGTTCGTGTGTGTAGGTCAGTAATGGTCCAAAACAAATTTGAAAAAATATTCCTGCTCTAAGAGTGGAAAATTAGAGGTTGAATCCGGATTATTGAATTTTACCCACTTTCCGTTAACCGATCACTTATTATCATTCAAGATGTACAAAATATAGATATAACATAGAGCTTAGATGTGGGAGACAGGAGTCCAAACTAGGTTAGTCCTGTGCTGCCATAGCACTCCTGGCTCCCCCTCTCGGCAATAATACAGGCAGTAAACAATATAATATAATAAATATTATGCTGAAAAAAATTCTTTTTCACCTCGAATAGGCTTCTTTTTCATAAGAAATCTGCGCGCAAAAGCGTTTTTTCCACGCTGGAGTGGGGACAAGGTTTTTGAAATTCGAACTTGGCGATGGAATGTGGTGCAGCTAATTCGATGAAAAAAAAAACATAATGACACGTTCAACTTTTGTTGTTTTGTTTGTTGATTTGTCGTGTACATTATTATGTAATATAAATACGTTGGTTTATTTTATTCTTATATAGTCAACAATAGACTTTAAATTGACAACGATAACTAATTTTGTTTACTAAATTATTTTAAATGTATGAATGAATAAAACTGAATTGTTATAGTTCAACTGTGTTTATTTATCTACCATTTTCCGTGCTATAGTGAGGTGAAAAGTTGTGTGTTTCGCTCGGCAGCAAAGTTGTTTTGCGTCTCGTGGCTAGAACCCCTGGCTACGCTCAGGATTCTATTTTTGAATCACTCGCTTCGCTCGTGGTCCAATCCTCGCTTGTTCAGGTTCCAATACAAGAACAAATAACTGTTCTTTTTTTTTATTTAGTCCAGTACAGCAAGAGAATATTTAAACACCTTTTTTCTTCCCCAGGTCTCCACTCCGACTTATCACTGACCTCCCTGGACGGTGAGGAAGGCGAGACCCTGCGCCGCGGAGCCTTAGCCGCTGCCTGCGCAGACGCAGTCGCCGCGTACGCAACGCTCGAAGGGTCCAGAGTGAGAGACTCGATCGCTGCCCACGCGAGACGCGCTTTGGAGAGGGAACGACAAATTGATGAGAAGAACGAAATTATTGCTGATTTATCGTCCAAAGTAAGTCCTACAATTCCATCAAAATTATTTTTGTATATATAATCTGTACACAAACACCGATTGCAGCTGGTGAGCGTACTCATGACGCGCGGCGTGACTTTGACGCGCGCGCCACTTTTGCAGACCAGTAAGACTAGCACAACTGGGCGCGACTTGCGCGAGAGTAATTCTCGCATCTCTATGCGAGAATTACTCTCCCACGCCTTATGTCGCTCTCGCGCAAGTCGCGTCTTGTCGTGCTAGCCCTAGAGAGACCTGAGTATACATTTGTAATCATTCAAACTTAACTACCGCGTTTGTGCAAAGGTTTTTATTTAAACCTTTTAAATATATCATTAACATCTAAATAAAAATCTTAACGCAAACGCGGCAGTTAAGTTTTGCATGATTGCACATTTACACTCAGGCCTCCGGTCTTTTTTTATAATGCCAAGTGACGGGAGAACAAGTCGTGTGTCTGGTGGTAAGCGACACGTCTATCCATGACAGTTGCAGTGCCACTCAGAGCTTTAAATCGCAAAGATCTTAGAGGCACTGCCACTGCGCCCGTCACTCAGAGACATAGGTAGACACACCAGCACCCTTACCCTTCCAAACCAGAACGCAGTAATGCTCACATTACTGCTTGGCGGTAGAAATAGGTAAGGTGGCAGTACTTCCCTGGACGAACCCTAATGCTACTAAAGGTCTGCAAAAGTGGCGCGTCTGTGGCGCGACTGTGGCGCTGCAGCTGCGCTTCTACAATCGTCTAAATTGAAGACACCCTTAGACACTTTTGAGATAAGCTACTGTTATAGAAGGTCACCGAACTGTTCTTTCCAATACGCGTCTAACTGATGTTGCATTTATATTGACTTATCCGATAGGTAAATAAATCGATTTAACGGTACTCGAATTACAATTTTGTGCCAATTCTGTACGGCTAACAATGTGGTAAGCCCATAAAGAGTAATCTAGATTCTTTCCACAGGCTGCATAGTCAGATTCAGAAAACTGCTTTATTACGGAATTATAGAACTAATGAATTATCTACCTCCTCAACTACACGAATTTTGATGTCAATAGGCAATGAGGAGCGCTAGCTCTGTTAGACAACGGTTATTTCTCATTTAAGAGGTCGTTTCGAGTCCCTGTGTAATGCTCCAAATAAAACCCTCGGGCCTTTTTTTACAGCCATGGTCGGTAAGGAGTTTTTTTTGTTTGTAGCACGACGTATTTCCTTAAATAGGTCAGGTTCAAGTTCAAGCAAGGATATTACTTAATTCAAAATTAAAACATTCGCATAGAATGTTATCTAAACAGAAATTTTATTGCCGTTCAATCACATACTACTGAAATACTTATTATTAAGAATTTATTTTAATTGATTTCAATTATTTTCAAAGTTTAGGATTTTTTTACAATCCATCATGGCTGTATGCGTTTTACAACATTTTAGTTCGATTTGTATTATCTATGGAAGAATAGCTGGTTGGCCATCTGTAGATAAAACCCTATACAAAACCCCTGAAAACAATCCGCTTTCTTTACCAGATCTCCTGAAAAATCAAGAATGTTATCCAATTTTATATTATTTCGTACGAAGCACTATCGAAGACATTTAATTCTTGTAATGGAATACAAGAAAGAGATTACTCTCAGTCTTGGCTGTATGACGCATTAGTGCCTTTGCCTTTTCCAATGGAAAAAACAGTACCAATAAATAAAAACACAAACTCCATAATTGTTGTGTTGTGAACTATATTTATTCATACAAGAAATAAACATTGTATTTATTTCCCCGCAAATGTGATGAAAAACTTTGTATGTGTCACGGACGGTAAATAAATACAAAACTCGAGTTATTAAAAGCCCTCAGCCTTCGGCTTTGGGCTTCTAATGGACCCGCGTTAGTAATTTCTTATTTGCCGTCCTTAGTGCACAATGTCTATGTCCTATTACATACACACTCATTTATAAATACATTTTAATAAATCTCTAACGCGGTGAAGGTTCTTGGTATCCAACTTCCGCGAAATATGAGAACCGGCGTTCCGCACGTTGTCTGATCTCAGTTGCTCAATACGATACTAGCTTCCGGTTTTATGATACCTATCACAAACTCGAATTTTTGTTTCCGAAATAATGTTTTTCGAATTTTCATTACACCGAAATTTTGTTTTTTCGGGATATATTGGATGTTTATCGCTAAGACACGATTAGGCTCGGTTAGGTTAGGTTTAAAAGAAAAAAACATTTTCCTCTCAAAATTACTTTCGAGGTTATGAAAATTCGTGCAAACGTTATTTCTGGAAAATGTCATTTCGGACTCCTGAGGTGGCGAAGGTACTCGGGATCGTGGCTATTGGAACTCTGAGTTCTGCCTTTGCTCAAATTAACAAAACTGGAGTAGAAAAACCTGTACCTCTAATAGTATAATAATGGTGCTTTAGGTCTACCGGACGGCGGGAATTTTTAGGTAATGAATTGTACTATAGCGTCGGGGATAGTGCAAATCTGCATATGTAGTATTGGTAAAAGACGCGTATCTCCACTAAACCAAATTTCAGTAGAGGGATTTAACGTTATTACTTTGTTATTTCTGTACCTACGGCTTTCATTCTTGCACAGTAAGCATTATATTATGTTGTCTACGAACTGATAACAATAGATTCCCGTAAATCACGCTAATTTCCTTGTCACGAAATTTTTGCGGATTAGATTTGGCTACTAAATTACCGAAATGGAAACTCGTAATCAAATGCTAGTTACGCGTAATTTTACTATTCCCGACGCTAGGTACTTTAATGTTATGACATTGTAGTTGAAATTACAATTGTAATAGTCGTAGCTACAAAAACAGCTGCAGCAAGCTTTGGGCTACCGAGCCGGCAACCTCCGGAATGCATCGACAGCCTTCGGGGTCAGAACCCAATCAACCCGGACGGTTTTAACCGGATTTTTAGCCAAAGCGCCAGATTTTAACCCATTTCTGCCCAAAATCGTGGGCATGATCCATTTGCATACGCCGCACCCGCACACATGACATTATTTCAAACTGCGTCGTCTGTTTGTTGTTTAAAACATTTGCCCCATAGTTTTTTTACTTTTGTTTTTGTTTCTTCTTTTGCAATACATGACTTCTATTCTACTCTATACAGTAGCCATTGTTTAAAAACTTTAATTCATTATAGTTTGAATTTTTGAGCATCCTCCGACAAATATCCAAGTCAAGAAAAAAGATAAGCAATGGGAGCTAAATAGTTCGGTACAGATTATATAGGCAACAAATCGCCTGGCCACATTATTTGCAGAAGTTAGACACCACGGACCTACACCGCGAGCGAATACCTCACATCATACCAAAAGTAAATAAATTTGAACTTCATTTTAATACGAAACACAACTTTTTTCTTTAAATTACAGTCTTCCGTTACTCAAGCACCGTATCAAGATTTTTGATCATTGTCAGATAGCGGTTTGAACAACGCGTTCTTAAATCATAATTCTTCTTTAAAACGATAACTTTAGTTACGACTTTTGAATTACCATCAAATAATCATTACCACCACCATGATATCAAATGTTTTTTCTTAATTACAATGAATGTAGTGTTATCTCTAGTCAGCGGCTGGTGCTACTAGCTAGTAAAGGTACCTTGCTGAGCGAATAAAAACTTTCATAGATTTCGCACAGATGGCGCTATGGTAAGAAAGTCATTAAAAATCCAAAACAAAGATCTTAGTTGGCATAGCATCTGACACGGTTTGCTGGGAGACGTTTGGTTCGAATCCAACCGGATCGAAGTGAATTTTTTCTAAGTGTTCGACTTTTGTTTAATAGTTTTGATCTTTACATAGTTCAAGAGTTAAAATAATAGAATCAGGTGGGGTAAGAGGAATACTGGAGGAAGAGAGACTCAAAGTGTAACTCATAATCTAGAGAGATTAGCACTGTAGTCCCTCAGTCGATAAAACAGATCAACAAATTAGTTAAAAAATTTTAAAGAGATTTCGCTACGATGCTCGACATTCAAAAAGCGGAAAAGATAAATTTGACAGTTGTAAAATCTTGAGAACACGAGGTCTAACCTTTGTAAGAAATACGATAAGTGTTCTTCATACCCCACCTTTTGGGAGAAGAGAAACATTAGTACAATTTGCACGTTTTCGGCAATTACATCTTAAGTATTGGATCTAGCGTAATAATTGTTAAAACATGTAAACTTGATAAACAAAGGCAAGTTTGGGATACTTCAAGATTCTTAGAAGTCTATATGTTCTTTCTAAAGCTCAAAACATTTGACTCAAAATACAGTACATATGTCCCTGACAATATATAAATTAACTTTTGGGATATTACGCTCATCGAATTCCCCGAAAACACAATGACGTCCTAATATTCAAATAGGTTGCGTGTATAAGTCCAGGCCAATCCTCTTAAAATAGGTTTCGTCTTTTAAACCGCCTTGTTATATCGGATTATTGTCAGATGAAGCCAGAGAAATTTCACATGTTTTAGAGGACACCTTGCGTTCGATACGTTGCGTACTGCATATTTTTACTTTCCTTTATAATGTCGATGGCATACAATGTAGTACTTCCCTTCGTGGTGAAAGAATTTGCCAATCGGCGTAAGGTACTCGCCGATTGTTTCCTAGGGTACCCTAGACGTACAGGAAAGGAATGTACATCGTGCGGGGAAGCCTGTTTCGTGCACCTTATTCATCATTTCACATTATAATGTCATCATTTACATAGGTATTTCAACAGTTCCATTGTTGAAATACCTATTTCGTATTAAAAAAATTGTTAGTTCTTGTATGTTACCTGTTACTATTTTTAACCGACTTCAAAAAAAGGAGGAGGTTCTCAATTCGATTGTATGTTTTTTTTGTATGTATGTAACGTGATAACTCCGATATTTGTGAACTGATTTTCATGATTCTTTTTTGTTGGAAAGAGGGTACCTCCATAGTGGTCCCATTTAAATTTGAAGAAAATCATCCACCTCTGTTCTGGTGGCTGTTCACGCATGAAGATTCATTTTTATAAATAGCGCCTGAATTTTATTATAAGGAGCAATTATTTTAATGATTGACTTTGCTATTGTCCAATTCAAGGCGTTTTTCTCTCGCAATATACATTGAGTAGTGAGAACCGATTTTTATTATCTCCTGTGTCAAGTCCCGTATAGTGGCGAATTAGGAGATGAATCCGGGTTTGCGCACTTTCCGGTAACCTATTTCAATAAAACATGGCAAA